CTGTTTTAGTCAGCCAGTCAGAGTGTGAATAAAGCATTATGGACCGACAGACTAAGGCTTTTATAATACTAGAATGATCTCCCATGCTGTTCTCATGTTACATGCTCAAAGAATGTCTGCTGGGCAAACGGTATGATGGTCTTAGTAATTTAAAAGCTTCCTGCCAGTGTGTACTCTCAGTTATTGGAAGTGGCATCCCAGAAGAATATATTGCTCTTGCAAGAGCTTGGACAATTTTTTCCTGACCTTCAGGTGTCATCTTGTCTTCAAATGAAGCTATTGAGAGTCTTTTGTGTACAGTTGGTTGCAGTAGTTGGTTACTTGAGGATGTTCATTGGGCAACCCTTTGTGATGCTGATGTTATAGAAGGAGCAGCAGCAGCAGTAGGAGGACTTCTGGATTGAGAAGGTTGGAAAGGGCTACTTGCATGATCATCATCATGATCTGCTTCCTCCTCACCTACACCCATGAAGGATTTTTTAACGTCTGCATGACACTTCTTACATACAAGGATGTATTTGGTCATCCTAGTAACATTTGGAAATGCATGTTTCATTGGACAGTATTTGCAAATCACCTTTTTTCCCCCCTCAGAATAACTTGCAGTGTGGAAATGCTTCCATGTGCTAGAAGTTGGTTGCACCATTTTTCTGAGAGAGTTTTTCCTAATGTTGAGCCTGAATCAGTCTTTCAGGAGTTTGTGGCCATTAACTAGCCCCATTTCAGTTTATTTCCATTCTGCATTCTTGCTTCTCTCTCTGTCTCCTTGGAGGCATAATTAGTAAGATATGCTGTGGGCCAAACCTGCTGCAGGGGGAACTGCTGCCACGTTGGGCACCTGCAGAGAGTCAGCCTCACCCCCTGCGTCCCATCCTCCATGGAGAGCTGTTGCTGTGCTCGGGTCCAGGGCTCAGGGCAGCCTCGTGCTATTTCCTGGACAGATGTTCCTGTGGGGGGAAGGTGTGGATGTGGCCAGGAGCTAGGAGTTAACCGAGCAGCCACTAACTGAAAGACTCATGCACACTCCTATTGCAGCTGCCCCCAAATTTCAGCAATTGCTAAAGGTAAATTTGGTGGTGAAAAGCCCAGGAGCTGCAGTATGGGGGAAGGCTAACACCTCTAACTTCTTAAATGCTGGCTGTGCCCCCAGCAGTGTTGTCTGGCCCAACAGCATTCTGGCACTTCATTTAAGTCTGTGCCCAGGACCTGTGGCTCACTCACCCACCCATCAATGCGCTACTATATCTCCTGTTCCAATACGAGGCAGCAAATTGTTGCGTAGCTTTCTGTAATGCACTTGGTTTATGTCACTTTCCCCATCTGTAAAATTAAGGATACGTTGCAAAGATGGAGTTAAAATGATCATTTCCTTTTTGAAAGCATTGTCAAACATTAAGGAATTATACTGTATGGTATGTTATCTCCTTTAGCATATGGCTTACTCTTCCTGCCAGTAGTATATTTTTTTCCAGTGTGGTGTTTACTGTTACGAAAGTACCTTTCTTTTTTCTCTTTCTGTATGTCAGTCTAACTTGCCAAAGAGGGTTAACATTAATGGAAAACAATGGGAATCAAACTGGAGCCCTTCAAGAGTTGTGGAAAGTTAAGTTAAGCCTTCTTCTGGCGTTACTGTTCAGAGGTCAGGTTTACAAAAGTGGAGTAGCAGTGCTTTTATTTTTATTTTTAATCCTTTTTTTTTTCCCCTTTATCCCTGAGCTTCTATACTTAGTACTGTGGACTGATGATTTATTCCACAAGGCTTAGCATATACTTTCTGCCCATCTCCTAGTTAGAATGGTATTTAGAGAATCTAGGGAATGAACTAACTGCATTGGCAACTTTTAGGAGTCCTGTAGGACCCTTGCATCCTGGAAGCAAAGAATTATAAGAAAAATAGGAAGTCTTGGCTTGTTAGCTGTGTTAGCAACATATCATCTAAATTGTTTACTTAAAATATGTGCAGTTTTAGGCTGTGGTGTGGGTATTGAGGAAACATTCAGAAACAAAATGAATTTAAATCTTGAGAACTTGATCAGAATAACAACGTTTTAGCAAGTTTAGGTTTTTTTTTTTTTTCATTCTTTCCTTTTTTATTTACAATACACTTTTTTAAATTATAAGAGAAACAGCACTCACTGACAGGGTAATATAACAACTCTGGAAGCTATCAAAGCTTTATAGTTTTAATGTCCTCAAAACACTTGGTACAACTGTACTGCTGCTAATTTTACAGTGCTGGGAAACTGTAATTCCCTTGTATGCAGGGGGCTTTTGTTTGGTCACATCGTTGCCTTTACTGGCTGGTGGTTGTTGGTCAGTTGCATTGAAGTACTACATGGCAGCTAGCACAATCTTCTGTTGACTCAACAGCAGAAACCTGTGCTTTCAAGGTGAAGAACCAACATTTTCAGCCTTGGTTCTGCAGATCTGGGCTGTGTTTAGGTTTGGTGTAATCTCATTAAGGGTGATTTTAATTCCCTCTTATAAAGTGAGAAAGGAGAAATCACCCAGCTTTTACAGTTGTAGGTAGTCTTGCATTTTTTGAAAATGTTGAGTAGATTGACTAAAGACCCCTGGAGGATAGTGTTATAATAGTTCTCTTAACGTATCTTACTTAACTTTCTCCATTTAGTTCCTCAATGAAATAGATGTGGCAAGAACACGGGTCCTGTTTTGTATATTGCACTACCCCAGCCAGCAAGTCTGGCACAGAGCAATGTCTTGAAGAGCGCAGGTGCTGTACCTGCTGTGGGAGTTTCACCATCCTTTCAGGTGCTCAGTATAGAGTAGTGGGATACCATCAGTATTTTGGCCAGTGACCAATGGAAATCATTTGTTCCTGTATAGTAGGGGTGTGAAATGCATGATCCATGAGCTGGATGTGGCCTGTAAAAGTGAGTTATCTGGCCTGCCATCTTTCCCAGGCCGAGAATAGAGAAGTGGGGGCAGGAGACACCAGCTTTTAGAGTTTGCATCCCCTTGTCAACCTCACAGGTAATATGGCTGCAGAAAGAGGTATCAGCGAGCACATCTTGCAGCTGCTACAAGTATTGCCATTCCCCAGTACAGGTGGCAATGGAAATTGGTGATACTTGATGATAGGGATGAGCAGGAGTAGCTGCAGTAGAGGCTGCACCAATATCTCCCCTTGCAGCAGCATGAGGCTGATGAGAGGACTTGCATCTACGTTAACCTCCTGACTGCTAGCTGTTTTAATGCTTCTCTGACCGTGGTGGCAAAGCTGCTTACCCCAGTAAGAGCTTAACTTCCAGCTTCCCTGTCAGCACCATGGGTGGAGTCTGCTGTGGCCAGAGCAGGTGTAGCCTGCCAGGAGTGTAGCCCATGGACCTATCTAAATCACAGCAGAAGCCCTGCCCCTCTACTGCTGAGTGGCTAACGCAAAAACCACAGCATTAATTGCCTCTTGGCTACTCAGTGGCAATGGGGTGGAGGGTGCATGGCAAAAAGAGCAAAATTAAAGGCACTACTGGGTTGCTAACTTCTGCTGCATTTTAGGTAGGTCGCTACCAATGGACCAATTGATTTTTGCCATCCCTGCTGTATAGGTATTAGAAAATATATTAAATTGACTATTAATTTCTTTGTTTGGACTATGTAAATGTGACAGCCACTGAAACTTCAGGTTTTGTCATTTGGCAGTACTTTTTTTTAGATAAAGGGTTTTTCCCCCCTACTTCTGAGGGAATGCCGGTCCTGGTGGTATTTCTTATTTTAACAGTAGGTTATATTTTGAATGTATGCTGTTTTGAAAGATTCTGCCAAATACAAATATATGTGGACCTTAAATTGCAGGTGCACAGAACAATCAATAGGACTTCATTATTTTTGTTTCTGACTGCTACAGTACTTAAATTTAATAGCAACTTCCTTTAAAGAATCCTGTATTGTTTTACAAATAGTAATGAATTCTGATTTCCTCCTTTCAAATGTGCCTCCATTCTCATTTTTACCAACATGGTCATGGACCCCTTAATTTTTTTACTGTGTTGTGGTGTAACAGCAAAAATCTTTCCTGTTCTAAGCACCATTCTAAAGAAAAAGTAGTTTGCTTACAGTTAATTTTAGCTGTCAAGTAATTGATTGGATAGGATTCCTATTACAATGTTACTGATATTTGGCTGTGGGCTTCTCCCTGCTTTCTGACCTTTGCTGCCAGAACTTGGTGGCACAGTTTTATGGAGAAAGTAATGTGGAAGCCATGCTCAGCTAGTCGTTTGACTATGGTGCCAGCACAGGAATTTTTTTGTGCTATGACCAGACATTGGAAAACAACTCTTTGTTAAACCTATTGGTGCAGTTCTAGAGAACTAAAAATGAAACTAGTACAGCGATGAGGAAAGCCTTTAATTTTTGTGAACTTCATATTTTATTTTAGTTTTATTTTCCAGGAAATAATGACTACATTACCAAATAACCTTTAATATAATGCAGCCAGCATATGATGTTCAATTGTTTGAGGTCTACTCCTTTGCTTTTTCAGACGATAAAATATGGTGTCATTGGCACAAAGTTCTTGATTGAAGATTTGCTTCACTGGAAAACTCTCTATGTTGCTGGACGCCTACAAAAGCCGGTAACTACCTTAATTTGTTTAGTGCCTTGTACTTTTAAATATGGAAATACAGAAAAGAAAAAAATCAGATGCCATAGAAAGTAGTAGGGGTGTAGGTTGTAGCCGTGTTCTTAAGGTGAATCTGATATCTTTTATTAGACCAACTTAAAATTTGTCTGCCTATAGAAAGTAGGGTTAATTTTCAGTTGATCACACTCTCTTTAAGGCAGTACTTAACTGTTCTTCCATGGACTAGGAGATACAGTTCTGCTGCAGCACAATATTTCAGATAGGAAGTAAAATAGAAGTTACTAGATAGACTACCACATTTTAGCTAAATCTGGGCATAGCATTCCTAGCATCTTGGTCAGATCATGTTTTAAATAGCTGGATTGTACTTGCATATTTGCAAAAGGATAGTATGGTATTAATTACGACATACATTTCAGAATTAGCTGTAATTTAGTGTAGCTAAGAAAGCTTTGATATTTTTCAGAAAGAAAGCTGCTTTGCCATACCAATATAATCTATCTCATTGTATTATTACCACATCTCCGTTCAGTGATATGGACTGTGTTACATCAGGGATGCTTGGATAGCCTCTCTGCAGGTCAGTGTTGTACGAAACGTTTCTTAAATGTATACTTAAGCATTCTGTTAGACCTCTAGGTGGCAGCTAGTCTGAGTTAAGTGGGGGAGAGAGAGAGAGAGAGCGAGCTAATTTCAAAATTTAGGAAAAAGTGTGAGGAGCTGCCTTTATTAGTGTAAAAAAAATCAGTAGCAGGAAGCTTAAACAGTTGAGTGTTTACCTGAACCTGGATTTTTTTTAAGGTTTCTTTCATTTTGAACCCTCGCCCTCTCCAGTAAATGTATTATATTTTTTGCTGCAGTTGGTCTTTTCTGCTTACAATGGGTATAGCTTGGCCATGCTATGAATCCCCTATTTACCTCAGAGGAAGTTGCACACTAAAATATACAACAAATTTTGGCACTTTACATTCAAATGCTCTTAACAATAAGTAGCCAGAGACCTTTTTATGCATATGGGTTTTAATAAGCAGGAAAAAGTATTGGTCCAAATCCTTTTTATTAAGTTAATGGGAGTTCTAGCTACCTAAAGACTTTGTATTTAATTCCATTGTTCCACTATAGGTATGCAGCTAAAGACTTGAACCCTCTCTCCTTGTATCCATCCACATGTAGAGCCAGAATATATAGAGTTACTTATTGCCTATTAGGCAATTAGAACTTGAAACAATCTTACTTAGACAAGTTATTAGCAAACCTTCTGTTTATTAACCTTTCCAGTTATTTTTGGTAAAGTTTTTTTGGTGGTGGCAGGTCCACTACTTGTTTGACATTCTATTATGGTCTGCAAGTCCTTAGAATGAAAGGTTTTCTCTCTGTAAAATAAATATATAAAACATTCCCCTGAATCAAGAGAAATCAAGGGGAACATTATACGTAGATCATATCAAGTTATTTTCTTTTTTACAAAGCTGTGAAATGTGTACACTAAAAGCTTCATGGTAAGGATGTAATAAAAATATGAATTCTATATTTATGCATATATACCATGTGTATAATATGAATTTTTGCAAGGACACACCATTTTACTATCTCTTGAAAATTTTGGCTCCTCCAAATGCTCTAATAATATCTGCTTCAATCACCAATTTCTTGTGGAACATGAGCTATTTAATAGTTTTTGATAAAGTGGGTTTTTTTAAACACCCTTAAGCATCTGTTTTATATTTCCAATACCTACAGTGTCTGTTCAGAATTAGTTGTCTTAACTATTGATTCTGTTGACTGTAACAGTACTCAAGTGCTTCCTAAAAATGAACTTTGCTTAAGTTTGTAGAAGTAGTTCACTTCAGTGCTCCATGCTTTAGCAGAAGCTAAAGAAATAATAGTTTTTCATTTCATAGCAGTCATACTCAACCTTTTTGTCCCACAGGCTGGATGAGTGGGACCCAGTCTGTCTGCAGGCCAGATCCAGCTGATGGGCCTTATGTGTAGGGGTGTAGAGGAATGTGGGGGAGGCAGCCAGCCTGACCCCAACCTGGTCACGAAGGGGGAAGAGGGTGTGGCATGGCTGGATTTGGCCTGTGAGCCAGGAGGTCGAATACCCCTGATTTATAGAAGTCTTATGATTATTGGTTAGTACTAAAAAGAGGAATTTTCCCATGTTTTTCAACTGTCAATTCATAGGAAAAACAAACATAGGGAAGCAGGGCTGTGTTTATCTAGGAAGGGAGCTAATGTGTATAAGGGTCTGCTTCATGCATGTGTTAGAGCAGCATCAAAGGAGCCTGTAAGGGGAAGAAATGTAACTTGAAGATCCTGTTGGCTTTCTACAAAGAGAATTTTTATCTCAAGCCATCCTTCCTGC